CCCATGTGGGGAAACATCCTCTCAGCATTTACCCTGTCACACCCCTTAAGAATTCTATATGTTTCAATGAGTAGAGTCCCAAACTGTTTAGCCTTTGCCCGTAAGAGAATTCCTCCAGACCAGGAATCATCCTGGTGAAGCTTCTCCAAACTGCCTGCTATGAAATGATGTCTTTCCTTAACTAAAGGGACCAAAACTGCTCACAGTGCTCCAGATGTGGTCTCCCCAGCACCTTATACAGTTGCAGTAAGACTTCCCTACTCTTATACTCCAACCCCGTTTGGAATAAGGGCCAACGTTCCATTCGCCCTTCCTGATTCCCTGCTGCAACTGTGTGCTAGCTTCCTGTGTACCAAGTACAAGTCCACCCCCCACCCCCTCCCCAGTCCTTCTGTGTTGCAGCTTTCTGCAAATATTTCTCCTTTTAAATAATATTCTGCTCTTTTGTTCAAAGAACAAATTCACATTTCCCCACATTATACTTCATTTGCCAACATTTTGCCTACTTACTTAACCTAAAAAATATTTCTCTGTAACTGTTTGTATCCCTCATGCAACCTGTCTTTCCATTTATTTTTGTGTCATCCGCAAATGTGGCTACAGTACATTCACTTCCTTCCTCCAAGTCATTAATATTTATTGTAAACAGTAGAGGTCCCAGCACTGATCCCTGTGGAATCCCACTGGCACTTATCACTGATCTGATAAAGAACCCCTTATCCCTACCTTTTTTCCTGCCCATTACCCAATTCTCTGTCCAGACCAATATACTACTTCCAAACACCTTAAGCTCTTACCTATGGCTTAACCTTTTGTGAGGCATCTTGTTGAATGCTTTCTGAAGAAGTCCAAATACAACACATCTATTACTTCCCTGATATTCACTCTGGTTGAGAGTTTGTCAAAAAATCTAATAAATTTTCAGATATGATTTTCCTTTCATGAAACCATGCTGACTCTGCTTGATTGGATTATGATTTTCCAGATACTCTGCTATCAAATCCTTAATAATTGATTCCAGCACTTTTCCAACAAAGGATGTTAGGCTAATTGGCCTATAGTCACCTGCTTTATGCCTCCCTCCTTTTTTGAACGGGGCTTGTTTGCAGGATGGTTTGTGAACTCTGAATTTCTGTAGTGCATTAGGCTTTCTGTTAACTTTTAATTAACTTTAATAAAAAGGCAACAGTTAATACAGCAAAAATAGTAATAATGTTGTTGATGTTGGTTAAGTGAAACATGATGCAGTCATTAGTTAAAGTAATGATGCAAAGAGTAAAAGTAGATATAGGTAACAGATGGTAGTGATATCAGACTGTTGTTGCTATAGGCTTGTTGCTTACAGTCATAGAGTCATAGAGATGTACAGCACAGAAACAGACCCTTTGGTCCATGCCAACCAGATATTCTACATTAATCTAGTCCCATTTGCCAACATTTGGCCCATATCCCTCCAAACCCTTCCTATGCATATACCCATATTTTGTAATTGTACCAACTGCCATCACTTCCCCTGACAGCTCATTCCATAAACAACTTGAAGATTTCTCTTTTTGATGTGAAGGGGTTAAAAGCTTGACATCAGGATTTAGCAGTGGTGATGGCTTCTGAAGTTGAATAGTTGGAAGTTTCTCTCACAAGTGGCTGAACAGAAAAGGTTCTTAAGGGAACGAAGATGTCGTATTTTCTTTTCTACAGTATTGCATGTTGGTCCTTGGTAGCCTGGTTAAGTCCCACTGTCCTTCAGATAAGTTGCCATCCTTCAGAGACGGTACAACAGTAGAAAACATGGCATATATTCCAAAAGGAATTAACCACACACGTCTGCTTCACTTACTCCATATGGTATCATATGACAAATTTCTGCAGATTTTTTGCATTTTTAGATGAGAAAAACAGAGAGATTGCATTATGACTAATAAGTTTGGATAGAGCAATTGACAAATGACTTTACAATGTGAGACTGAGATTAATATTTTAGATGTTCAGGTCCAAAGCGAAATACTGTTCTTAATTTTCAGCTCTGGCTTACAAAACCCAAACATATACTGCATGGCTAATAGTATATCTGAAAGTTCACTGTCAGTTATCAGGACATTATGAATCACATATGAAGAAGTTCTTTACGCTTGTTTCATGATTAAAATTATATTTTAGGGCATGGACATCACAAGCAAGATTGTTGGTTGTTTCCCGTCCCTAGTTGCCCCCTTGAGAAGGTGAGGGTGAGCTGCCTTCTTGAATCACTGCAGTCCATGTGCTATAGGTTGACCCACAATGCCCTTGGGGAGGGAATTCCAGGATTTTGACCCAGCGACACTGAAGGAAAAGTGATATATGTCCAAGTTGGGATAGTGAGTGGCTTGGAGGGAGTATTCAGTCCCATGTATCTGCTGTCCTTAAGTTTATAGCCACTAGAAATTGAGCTTTTGGAAGGTGCTATTGAAGGAAGTTCATATATTTATTTAATTATGGCCTTGTTCTTCTAGTTACCAAACAGTTAAAGACTAGACATATGCGTCAGGACCTCTCAGATGTCCTGCACACTAACATTTTGATAATTGCCCAGGACATTTCAACTTCTGATGGGTAATTAGCCTGTGTTTAAAACCTTCTGAAAATGTCCCAAATTTATATACCGTATATACTTTATATATTTGCTTGATAACCAGGGTTTCCTATGATAGGGGCATCAGGTTCAGGCCAGACTCAGAAATATGGCTGTACAAATCATAGAATCCCTACAGTGTGGAAGCAGGTCATTCAGCCCATCGTGTCCACACTGACTCTCCAAAGAGTACTCACTCAGACCCAGCCACCACCATATAGCCTTACATTCCCCATGGCCAACCCACCTAACCTGCACATCTTTGGACTGTGGGAGGAAACCGGAGCACCCACAGGAAACCCACGCAGACACGGGGAGAATGTGCAAACTCCACACAGACAGTCACCGGAGGGTGGATTCGAACCCAGGTCCCTGGTGCTGTGAGGCAGCAGTGCTAACCACGGAACCGCTGTGCCACATCTGGTGAATTTGCTGACAGGTAAGTGGGCAATCTTCCCAGGTTGAGTCTATTCCTGTGGTAATCAGGCCTAAGTATTTAATATTTCTAAAAGCAGTCAAACCAATGCCATTTTAGCAGAGGTGGTGGGTATGGCCAAGTGTTAATAACTTCCTTCAGACAAGCTGCCTGTGGAGAATCAAGTAACTTGTCCCAAGTATTCAATGAGCACTGAGCCTTTGGTCAAAACTGTGGCCCGGATACAATGCTATCCCAATAACATAGGAAGAAATGGAGGACATTCAGCCCTTCAAATGTATTCAGTTATTAATTGGATTGTGGCTAGTATGTATCCCTCATTAAGCTGCACAATTCTGTTCAAAGATTGCCCACCAGTATTTTCCTACTCTCCACATCAGGGGCAAATGATTTCTGAAGAAGGATCCCGACCTGAAACGTCAGCTTTCCTGCTTCTCTGATGCTGCCTGGCCTACTGTGTTCCTCCAGCTCCACACCGTGTTATCTAGTTCATTTTTGTTTGTTTGATTTCAACACATATATATTCCAAAATAAAAAATTGTGGTGGTGTAAAGGTTTCACTTTGTTCTGTGTTTGCTCAAATGTTACCTACTGTAGTGATTGGCACCAAGTGGATCTTATTGACTATGAGATCCTTGATTGGATTTGTTAACCTGGGCCAATCAGGGAGCCCTGTCTGACAGATATAAACAGGAGATTCAGAGTCTCCTCAGTTCAGGGGACTGACTCTGAGCTGGATGGTCACAGCCAGTGTACTGTGCACATATAAATAAAGGGTGACTTGGTGATGGGATACCGGCCTCTGTGCAGCTATTTCACCTGCTCAAAGAAAGCTGTAATGGCGTGAATAAAACAAAGAACTGGTAGAGATCTGAAACATACAAGAACAGAAATTACTGGAGAAATTACTGCAGTGTCTGCGGAGAGAAAGTAGGGTTAATGTTTCAGGTCTAGTGATCTGACATCAGAAAAATAATGAAATATTAACTCTGTTTCTCTCTCTACAGATGCTGCTAGATCTGCTAAGTTTCCTCAGTGCTTTCAGTTTGTGTGTGAAGCAGTTATTGCTTTTCGATTTCAGTGGTGTGGAACTTGTGGTCTCAGAAATGTAAAACTGCTCACAGCAAGAGTGGGGAACATTCTATGAGCCATGGAACTTCTTGGCTCTAATTTGAAGAAGTCAGGATGTGCCTGATCACCTTCAAATCTTCCGTCTTTGCCACCTCCTGCAATGTACAGGCTGTTGGAACCCAAGCTTGGTGTCATCAGTTTGAAGCAAATAACTTACATTCAAATCACGCTGTTCGTGTCCCAAGGCACTTCCTGAGCAATGAAGTATTTTGAAGTCTTACGCACGGTGAGATCCTACAGACTGCATCAAGGCAATGACCAAAGCATCGCTCTTAATAATATTGTTTGAAGGATAGCTATTGGCCAGTACTCCAGGGACAAATCTCCTGTGCATTTTCAAACTAGTAGCTGCAGGATCCTTTACATGCACTTGATGGGAGAATCAGCCTTAGTTTAACATCTCAAGCTGTGCCCTCGTTCTGTCTTAGCATTGTGACTGTCATTCATCTTATATCCCTCCCTGTCTTTTCAATCTTGCTGACTTCCTGCAGTGCTGGCCTTTAAACTTTTTTCCCTCATTATGCACCAAAATTAACAAACTCAGGAATAGAATTGGTTAATTTGGAAAGAGAGAAAAGTTTGCACGGAAGTGAGCAAAGACCAAGGAGATTGGGGCTGACAGGACCGTTCTTTTGAAGACCCAGCACGAGTGTGATGGGCTGACTGGCCTCTTTCTGTTCCGTGCAATTCTCTGAAACTGGAGCTGGAAGTTGTGTAAACCCGTGTGGAGTTTTCTGTTTTAGTTCGGGACACAGAAGGCATTTGAATCAGTGAAACCTCTTGCAAATTGCTGCTCTCTTGTGGCAGACTCTCAACCTGCCGTTTGCTGTGTTCGAGCAGAAAGCAGGAAAGCAAACAAGCTGTATCGTTTTGCAACTTTCCATTCTCCCCTGGAAATAAGGTATTTCTACATTTATAATCACAGTGCACTGGACGAGGCAATCTGTGTGTGTCTTTGCCTGAATCTTGATTTTGATAAAGAATTAGACAATGGGGCAGTATATCTCTATAAACACATCCTGTCTCTCCATCCTTGGCTGCCTTCTCTCAAGGGACACTAGACTTCGAAAGTGAAGCTTAATATAAAATACACGCCTTCCCCCGCCCCGCTTCTGTTTGACATTCACTGAGCTGAGGGGTGGAGCGGGGGGAGTTATGGTGAAGTGGGAATGGCGGGGGGAGAATGGAGAGGATGAAAATTCTAATCCCAGGCTGCCCCTGTCTTTGTAAAATTCTTTCAGGGAAGAGAAGAGTTTAAGAAAAGAAAGCAGGGGCCTCTCTCCTTCCTGCAACCCCCTTGGTGCTCTTGCAACAGACTGAATCTTGAGGGGTCTGTGATGCCCTTGATAAGGTCAGCATGCCACTGAGCTTGTATGCATTTGGGTGAGCTGGTGAGATCATACAGTGAATAGGGAGGATGGATACTTCTGTACCTCATTGAAAAGACCTCCAGTGCTGCAGAAAATCAAACTGACAGGACAAAGGCTAAAAGCTTGACAAGAGCGAATTTAATAAGAACACAGGCATGTCCTTTAACCTTCTCTGATTCTGCTGCAACATTCCAGTGCAACGTCAAAAAGATACCAAATTGGCAAGTTTCCTCTTGTCCTTGGCATCTAAACTGGACATGTTCTTTAAGGAACATAGAGATTTATTTTATATAAAATTCAGCAATTCATTTGAATGGCTAAAGACTGTGAATACATAAATTGAAGATGAATTACATTTTCAGTATCTTCCCCCTATCTTTGCCCAGAATATGTCCCACACTCTCTGTTCATCTCCCAAAGCAGGTAATAGTTCTGGAATATTACCTCTGTTTTTCTCTCTCCCTGACACTGCCAGACCTGCTGAGGTTCTCCAGCACTTTCTGTTTTTGTCTAACATGGAGATGTACAGCATGGAAACAGACCCTTTGGTCCAACTCGTCCATCCCAACCAGTTATCCTAAATTAATCTAATCCCATTTGCCAGCATTTGGCCCATATCCCTCTAAACCCTTCCTATTCATATACCCATCCAGGTGCCTTTTACATACTGTACCAGCCTCCACCACCTCCTCTGGCAGCTCATTCCATACATGCACCACCCTCTGTGTGAAAAAGTTACCCCTTAGGTCCCTTTTATATCTTTCCCCTCTCACTTTAAACCTATGCCCTCTCGTTTTAGATTCCCCACCCTAGGAAAAAGACCTTGACTATTCATCCTATCCATGTCCCTCATGATTTTAGAAACCTCTGTAAGGTCATCCCTCAGCCTCCGATGCTCCAGGGAAAATAGCCTCAACCTCTCTCTATAGTTCAAACCCTCCAACCCTGGCAACACCCTTGTAAATCTTTTCTGAACACTTTTAAGTTTCACAACATCTTTCCTAAAGCAAGGAGACCAGAACTGCACACTGTATTCCAAAAGTGGCCTCAGCAATGTCCTGTACAGCTGCAGCATGACCTCCTGACTCCTGTACTCAATGCACTGACCAATAAAGGCAATCATACCAAAAGTGTTCTTCACTGTCCTATCTACCTATGACTCTGCTTTCAAGGAACTATGAACCTGCACTCCAAGGTGTCTTTATTCAGCAACATTCCCTGGGACCTTACCATTAAGTGTATGTGTCCTGCCCTAATTTGCCTTTCCAAAATGCAGCATCTCACATTTATCTAAATTAAACTCCATCTGCCACTCCTCAGCCCATTGGCCCATCAGATCAAGGTCCCATTGTACTCTGAGGTAACAAAAACAGAGTTGCTGGAAAAGCTCAGCAGGTCTGGCAGCATTTGTGAAGGAGAAATCTGCCAGACCTGCTGAGCTTTTGCATGCAACTTTGTTTTTGTTCCGGATTTATAGCATCCGCAGTTCTTTCAGTTTTTATTTAGTACTCTGAGGCAATCTGCTTTGCTGTGCACTACACCTCCAATTTCACTAACCATACCTTCTATGTTCACATACAAATTGTTTAGCTATATGATGAAAAGCAGTAGACCCAGCACCAATCCTTGCAGCACAATTGTGCTTTTATTGTCTTCTTGCCCTCCATTGTCTCAAATGAGATGTTGTTCTTTGTTTTAGCTTTCCTCAAGATTCAAGCAATGCCCCTGTTATTGCTTATTCCTGATGGGAATTATTTTCCATTGCCCTGATGACAGGTCGGAAGCTTGGACTTCTTATGGACATCCTGAGATTTTAATTCTAACACCTGTCTTTTTTTAAAAGAGGATGATTATGGTTAAAACTGACTGTGGATGTCATTTCGGTGAGTTTCTGGTTGAGTCTGGGGCGGACTGATGGAATCTCACGGCTGTACGGAATCTGGGAAACTTCAAACAGAAACACTAACAAGGAAGAGGAAACGAGAAGCTGACTGCCCACTCCCTTCTCAACAAGAAGCTACCTCCTGTGGACAGGTTTGTGATTTACCCTTTCAGGGCTATACAAAAGGTAGGGGATCAAAACCAACTGTTATTTATTTACTCTTGGGACAAGGGTGTCACTGATTGAGCCAACATTTATTGCCCGTCCCTAGTTGTCCTTGGCATAAAAACCAACTGCAACTCTGGTCTCTGTGTCGGTAACCTGACGCACTAATGTGGACCACTGTGCTGTGCAGGTCACTGCTTGAGATCAGCCACTAAACACCCCTGCACTGCAGGCCAAAGAGTTAATGACACTGTCATGTTCTGAGTGCTGGCTGCCACCACTCCATTGAAAGGAACCAGGCCAAAGGAACTCAGTCAACCTGTGAAATCAAGAATCTTGAAATTGATTGTCCAAACATCAACATCAACATTACCGGTACCATCCAAAGTAACAGCCGTAACATTCCACTATCTGTTCCTCACAAACAGCTCAGTGATTGATCCTTGTTCCTAATCTGTGTGAATGTTCGTTGCCTTATTATTTATTCTTATATTGAATAACTAGTAAACTCTCTCTTTTTTAAATGTAAGAAAGCCTGGTAGATTGGACTCCTTTTAAAACATTATTTCATTGGGTCTCGATAAAGGGAAGGGATACCTTTTAAATTAACCTTGCTGTTGCAACCACTCTAGGGAGAAGGGTGGATCAAAGAGTGGAGCCACCTCTAACCCCTTTATCCAGGAGCTTAATAATTTGGGGTATCCTGAGTGGAACTGTAACAGATTGGAGAATTTCACCTGGGAAATGGTCATAACATAAGAACTGGTTGGTTTGTGAAGCCACCTTAAAACGTGTTTATTAACCTTTGGTTTTCAAGATACCTTTCTGAAATACAGATATATTACAGTTGCCCTTTCTCCACCCTTCCAGCTTTAGCATCCTAAAACTCTAATAAATTTGGAAAATGAGAGTTTTGTTTGGTAAAACCATATTCATTTGTTCTGTTCATACAATTCTTTTCTAAATGCATTGTTAAAATTTCCTTATTAATTGGTTCCAACAATTTCATGACAACTGATGTCAGCCTATCGTGCCTGTAGATCTCTATTTTTTTCTCTGTACATCATTGAAGAGTAGTGCTACATTTGCTAACTTCCCATCTGCCAAGAGTGTTACAGAGTCTAGAAAAGGTTGGAAAATCATAACCAGTGCATCAGTTGGCTTCATAAACCTAGCGGGTAGACAGACAACTTCTAGAGACTTGTCAGATTTTAAAGTCTTGATGTTCCTCCAGTACTTGTTCTCTGTGAATATTAATTATCTTAAATCCCTTACTCTTATTATCAGTTAGGTTACTCCTTATTTTTGGCACGTAACTTATGTTTTCTATTGTGAAGACAGACACAAAATATTTGTTCAATATCTTTGTTGTTTCCTCAATGCCCAAAATATTTAATTCTCTGTTTCCAAAGGACCAACATTCACTTTAGCTACTCCCTTTCTTTCTGTTCATAAATTTATATTTATATTCCTGACCATGAGGACTATCAACAATTGCTGTAAAGTCCATCTGTTTCATTTACAGAAGGAAATCACCATCCTTACCTGGACTGGCCTACATATGACTCCAGACTGCCCTATGCAATGACGTAACAATGTCAAGACTAATTAGGGATGGTCAAAAAATGCTGTCTTTTTCAGTAATGTCCATGTCTTAAGTTTATGATTCTTGATTATAATTGAAGTATATTTTTTCAGACTTAATGTAGGATTCACATGTATTATGATACATATATATATTATGCCATTAAAGTGTTTTACAATTCATCTTCCAGACTACTTTTGCCCATTTAACTGGCCCAGTCAGTCTGAGGACTAGTGCTGTACAACATTGCATTGACTTTGCTACAAGCTCCAATAATTTCTTGTGCAATGCTTTTCTAACAGTGCAACTACTGGCAGGGGATAGGGGGTGGGGTGCAGAGATAGTGGGGTGCAATAACCGACCTAGAAACTATTCCCAAAATCTTGGGAATGCTAATCACCACCCATCGTGATTTTACGTCCTAATTTTCTGAGTCAAGATCCTTTCTCACTAACGTCTCTATATCATTCATTACTATCAGGGCTGCTCCTCCTCCTTCACTATTCTGTCTATCTTTTTGAAATGTTGTATACCCTTGAACATTTATTTCCCAACATTTGCCACCCGACAATCATGTCTCTGTAATGGCAATTAAATCAAAACCATTTATCTCCATTTGCGTCACTAGTTGATCTATCTAAATACAAATGCCCCATGCATTCGGAGAAAGTGACTTCAATTTTAGTTTTTGCGTTGTGTTGGATATGTCAACCTGTTTCCTGAATTGGCACATATTTATCACACTTGACTACTGTGCAGATGTTGCCTGTTGACTTTCCTTGCAATGAGTTAATGTTCAATTTGGTCAGTGTACTATGAGTGATTTGCTTCAGTGTCTGGAAGCAGGTTGATGTAACACAGATGCTTTAACATCAGTGAGTTTTTGCACATTTCAAAAAGCCCGTTTCTCTCAACTTAAACTTAAAGCAGACCCCAGAAAATCACATCATCACAGGCAGCAATTCCACTGTCTCTATTTACTCACAAGTGATTCAAGGGCTCACATTTGATTGGTTTCAGATCACATTTTGGAAAAACTGATGTGTCTATTATTGTCTTTCCTGAAAGGTGGTTTACACCTTAATCAAATTACACCTTAACAGAATCATCACTCTCACTTAGCTTTAATAGAAAATAATACAATTATTTGATTTTGTAACAATCAAATTATAAAATAAGATTGTAATACCTTGAAAATAAATTCTGGGGATGGAGTAGAGAGTGGAGTGTAAGTAGCACTCATACTTTTTCAGGATGTTGTAGGTTCAAGCTCATTAATGGTAAGGCTGAGATGCGGTGCAGTTCTCAGGGTATGCTACATTGTAGGAGACCACACTCTTCAAATGAGGCATGAACTGAGGACCTCTCTTATTAAAGTGTCTGTGATATTCATGGCGTAGTTGAGGGAGAGAGAGAGAGTGTGTGTGTGTGTCTGTGTGTGTGTGTGTGTGTGTGTGTGTGTGTGTGTG